CCCCTGGCCATTGACATGATCTCGATTGCCAACGGGAAGGTCGAGCTCCGCCACCCGCCGTCCTTCCAGGCCTGGGTCGACCAGGTCCAGACTGAGGCTGCCGAGACCGCGAAGACAGAACTTGAAGAGCGCAGGCGGCGTGAAGGTGACCGCGTCCAGGTTCGTGCCCAGGTTCGTGCTCTAGAGCGGCGCGCTCGTCTGTGGTCCCCTCTCAATCGCAGGATCTCGCTCTCAGCTGTTCTCGCGCCAGATGGCTCTACGGTCAGTGAGCCCTCGGACCGCCTGCGAGTGCCCACGGAACACTGGGCCCCTGTCTTCCAGAAAAAGCCGTGGGGCGCTGCTGCTGCTGCTCCCTACCTTCGTCGCCTCGCTCCTGACCTTCCTGCCGATCTACACCTGCCGCCGCCGTCGAAAAATATGCTACGTCGAGCAATGCGGTCTGCCCAGCACTCTGCTCCTGGTCCTGATGCTCTGCCATACGCTGCGTGGGCTGTGTCTTCGTGGGGTGCCGACATCTTGTGGGGCGCCCTTGGTTGGGTGCTCAGTGGCCAAGAACTCTTTGCGAACACTAGCGACGCGATCCAGATTTTTCTGCCCAAAAATGTCACGGACTTGGAGCTCCGCGATGGCAGCTGCTCTCGCTCCCCCGACAAGGTTAGAGTCTTGGGCCTTAGGAACTGTGACCTGAAGCTCATCTCCTCCACCGTCAACCGTGCGATCCGTCCTGCCTTGGAGGCCCTCGCCCCGCCGTGCCAGCGTGGATTTATACCGGTAGGAATTTCGGCAACAACATCCTCGAGCTCGACGTTTCGAGTCGCCAGATGTCGGTCGTCCCTCACGGTTCTGCTGATATACCTTTATTGTACTCCCTGGACTTCGGCCAAGCCTTCCCGTCTCTGAATCAGGACTTCCTCATCCTCTCCCTTAGGGCCCTCAAGCTGCCTGATGCCTTCGTGTCCTTCGTCACGTTCCTCTATGCGTCGGTGGAAGGGGTCGTCTCGCACCTAGGCACGCTAGTTCACATCTTCTGGATCCAGAGCGGCATCATCCAGGGTTGTGCCTTATCGGGCACTCTGTATGCGTTAGGTACGGCTGTCTTCTTGGTTGACCTGGCTTCCCGTGTTGAGGCCGCTGGTCTTGGCTTGGTTCGGGCCTGTGCTGATGGCATTGGGGGCACTTTATTGGCCATACGGCACCTAGTACATGTGTATCGTGTTATGCAGATGGCCTCGGACTTGGCCAACCTCGCCCTGAAGGTCTCGAACTGCAAGATTGTCCCGTTGTCTGACAGGTTCTCGCCCGAGCTCTCGGCCACAGTCTCCTACTGGGTCTCCCGTGTGGTCCCCGAGTGGAGCTCGTTCGAGGTGGCTCCGAAGTTGCTCTACCTGGGCCTCTGGCTAGGTCCCGCTGTCGTTCCGTCTACTTGCTGGATCGATCCCGTCGCCAAATTGCGTCTGAGGGCCCAAGCCATAGGACAGGGAACCACTCCCGCCAGCCTTTCCGCTACACTATACAGTACACGTGCCGTTACGACCATATCCTACGTGGCCCAATTTTGCTGGCCGCCGACAGCAGTGCTACAACCTGAGCTGGCGACGCTCGCACAGGTGTTCCGCATCCCGCTCGGCACCTTCGCTCTCGACTTCTGGACGCAGATCGCGCAGTGGGGCGGCCCGCGCTGCACGCGGTGGGGGCACCTGGCCGTCGCCACCATCACGCGTGCTGCTGTGCACACTTTCCCGAGCTGGGACGTGCTCCTCCAACAGGTGCGGAACCACGTGCGCTCCGCCCCGACCGACGCCACCTTGTCCATGCTGGCGACTGGCAAGCCGTACCCGTCCTTCTGGTTGGCCCCCGCCTTCGTGGAGAATCTGGCTCTGGCCGCAGCTGGCACCCCTCCGCCTGGCCCGTTGGCCGCCTTTGGTGCACGTGCTGCTGACGCTGCGCTGGCTGAACTTCGTGCGGGCGACCGTCCTCGACCTCGCCCTCAGAGAGCCGCTCGCGATGCGCTGCGGGCCTACGCGATGCTGAACAGGCCCATCACCGACCTCTTCTTGGCCCGCCTGAGGAAGTTCGCTGGCAGATCTGCGGGCCTCCTTTCGAACATCGACTGGGACGAGTGCAAGAGCGTCCTCGCCCGCTGCCCGTGCTCATGGGCTATGGCCGTCCTGCGCACGTGGTCTGATGGTTGGATGACCTCGGCCCGAATCATCTCACCCGACGGCCAGAAGCACTGCGTATTCGGATGTTTGGGCAAGCTCGACTCGCTGAGGCACTACGCGAGGTGCCCTGTCATGCACCGTGCCCTGCGGCAAGCACTAGCGAGACCGATACCGTTGCCGTGGATGGACAGATGGGGTTTATCTGCACCTTCGCTGGCCACCTACTCTGCGATGGCTGCCGCGTACAACATGTACAACGAAGCGAGGCTGGCGCCCGTGTGGCCGCTGTCCCCGAGCTTGCTGCGTAGCTGTGCTCTCGCTGGTGTTCGTGCGATGCAGCTCGCGTCGCCGCTGAAGTGCTCGGAGATCGACCGCGAGCAACTTGGCCGACGGGACTACCTCATTCGCAGCTCTTCTTCGTCTTCCTCTTCGGTGCCGTCGCCCCGACTTACGCCGGCGGTATCTTCCTCGGACAGCGACTCGGACACCGTCTCCACAGCCATTGCTGCGATCCCGTCGGACTCCGATGCCTGTGATGTTGGTCAGGACCCAAATCGTCCGTCTCCTATGTGGAGCGGGCGTTCCATGTCGCCACACCGTTTTGCTACTGATGTGCTCGAAACGGCGTCTGGGAGCCACGTGGGCGTGGATGTGGGCACAGCTGGCACTCCCTGTGCTTCGCAGATTGCGGCTTCCAGTGGATCATTGACTACGCGTGGACCTTTGATAGCGGCTCCGTCCTTTTCTTCGAGGCCTTGCTCGTCGCAGTTGGCGGCTTCCAGTGGATCATTGGTCGCGAGGGCTCCGTTGACAGCGGCTCCGTCTTCTCCTCCGAGGCCTTGTCCGTCGCTGGGAGCGGCTGCCTGTGCTACCTCGGTCTCGAGCGGTCCTTTGGCGGCGGCTCCGACTCCACCTTCGAGGCCTTGCCCACCGTCATCACGTGACCGTGAGCCTGCGGCAAAATCATCTGCCCCGTGCTCCTGGTCTGCTCCTCGCCCTCCGTCCGTCGCTCTGATCTGTTCGGCCCCCCCTCCTCCCATCGATCGTTCGTCGCCTCCGAATATAAATACGGCTGCGCCCGACGTCGAGTTCGACGTGCTGCGCAACTCAGGCGCGCCCTGCGCGCCCCCGCCCCTGCCGCCCGCGGCAAATTCTTCGGCTTCGTGGGCTTAGGCGGGAGACTCCTTCCCTCGGTACGCTGGGCTCCTCCACCTCCTCCTCCTCCTC